CATGTGTCATACACGACCAGACATTACATTTGTACTTCCCGGGCATAGAAGTGGCCAGGTCTGCCAAGGGGATTGCGCTATCACAGAGGAAGTATTCTTTAGATCTCCTAAGCGATGTAGGGATGCTAGGATGTCGGGCAGCATCAACTCCAATTGATCAAAACCACAAAGTGACAGCTCAGTCAGGAGAGCCAGTGAATAAGGAGAGATATCAAATATTTGTTGGGAGGTTGTTGTACCTGTGTCATACACGACCAGACATTACATTTGCAGTAAGTGTTGTGATCAAATACATGCATGAGCCTAGAAGAAAAATCTTGAGGCAGTACATAGAATCTTGAGATTTTTTTTAATAATTTGAAGATTGCTCACCACACACTCGAAAGGTACTCCTGGGAAAGGACTATTGTTCAAGAGTTATGGACACCTTGTTGTACATGGTTATTGTGATGCTGATTGGGCTAGCTGCCTAAATGACAGGAGATCAACTTCAGGCTATTGTGTCTTTGTAAGAGGAAATCTAGTGTCTTGGAGAAGCAAGAAACAACCTGTTGTTTCCAAATCTGCAGGGGCTGAAAGGCTGAATACAGAGCCATGTCTCAGGGACTGAGTGAGTTGTTATGGACAAGGAATCTATTAGAAGGGCTGAAGATATATGGTGTGACAACAAGTCGGCAATTAATATAGCAAACAACCCGGTTCAACATGATAGAACCAAACATGTGGAGATTGAAAGATTCTTTATCAAAGAAAAGCTGGATGCTGAGATTATCAAGATAGTGTATGAGAGCTCAGGGCAACAAATTGCAGATTGCTTGGCTAAAGGACTGGGAACCAGAGAATGCAGCTTAGCGTGTCACAAGATGGGAATGATAGATATCTGTCACCCCTCTTGAGGGGGGGGTGTTGGATGTGTGGCCCATGTATTGCTGGCCCAAGTGTCCCAGGCCAATTGGGTTGACCTAGTTGAGGAAGAACAGAGGAAGGGGAGTAGTGAGCAGCTAGAATGAGTAGAGGCACGAGTGAGAGAGAGCTAGTTCCTCCAGAGCCAAGCCGCCACGACCAGCGACCCGAGGTGCATCTCCAAGGTCAACAGAAGGCATCCACTATACAAGTCCACTGTTTTACTCTATAGGCGGGTACTTGTAATCAATATCTTGAATGACATCCTACAAGTTTCAACTGCTCTACAAAGGGGAGCTATAGAAGAAAAAACAGGTCAAAAGTCAATTAAGAGCCTTCTTTTAGATGGTGTTGTCCCATAAGAAAATCCCAGTAACCCTTTGGCCAAGTTCTAGGTAATGGTACGCACGAAATTAACAGAAGCCATTCACTGTATAAGTCCATCGTTTAAGGGTGGTGTACACCCCCCCCCCCCTCCCATGCCCCCGTCCGACGAGCCCACCGCGGGATCGCTGGTGCGGCTCCCTGGTCTCCTCCGATGATGGGAAGCCGCGCGCCTACCGCGACGTCGTCAGAGGGAAGGTCGTCGCTGAGGTGGCGGTTGGTGAGTCTATGTGTGCCCATCAGGTCCTCCCGTGGAATCCGGCTGTGGGTTCAACAAGCTGGAGGACCCGGCCAAGGCTAAGGACAACATGGTCTAGGAGTAGCCCAGGCGCAAGCATCGCAATCTGGCCTTCACGGCATCAATCGGAGGTCAACTACGAAGCATGAAGGAGACAACCCCGCATTCGACGGGCAATGCCTGCTTTGCATAGACCCAGGCCACAACCCGGCCAATTGCGCCAATGGCTCGCATTGCATAAGGTGCGGGGAGTCTGGGCACATGTTGGGGGAGTACCACCTTCCTCATCCCCCACCGTCGTCTCCCATCGTCGTCTGATGATGAGCAGGCGTGTAAACACTCCGATAACTCCTTGGCCCAATCATCTGCGCACCCTCTGTTGCCGTCGTGCTCTGGTGTTAGGGATGGCGGTGCGCCTGCACATCGCAAGGGAAGAAACGCCCACGTCGTGAGGCCTCCCTCCCGTCTGCACCTTCTCAAACGCTGCCACTGCAGCCTCCAACCTTGACCCTGCGCTCCAACATTCATTATTGGCCCACCATTGATTAGAAAATTAGCTTGTAGGAATCGCCATTGGTTTGATACGAATAATGGCAATCATTTCGGTATGTTAAGGATACAGATGTATCCATAATTCATTTAGAGTTACTTAATAGCCTATTTCTTATACCATATCTCTAGCCAAAAGATGGATGCATATGATGTGTTTCATTTTGCTGGAGGATATCAATTAAATGGTGTATCGATTCCATAAATTGCATATAGCAATAAATAAAATACCAAGAGTCTTTCTAATACTTTACAGCCATTGATGTCTCTGATGCAACCGATTTCCTCCTATACTTCTGCCGCCTGCGCGGATAGAGACCTAGTGCTCCTCGACGGCTTCATCCAAACCCCCATCTTTTGTTTGCAATTGACACCTTGGTCCTACAGCGCGCAATCGACCGCCACTCGCCAGCCAGTGCCCTGGCGTCATATAAGGGATTTTGATCAACTCATGGAGCCTGGCGGCGGCGGAGACCATCCTTGCACCGTCATGCTGGATTGAGAGGTTGGACCTATCCACTCGTACCCGCACCAACATGCCAATCATCCGGCTCACATTTAGTGCCTGGATGCGTCAAGAATCTCTAGGGAGAAAGACTCACATGGTGGAACAAGACAAACCGTCGACGGCTCGAACTCATCGTTCTGCCTGTCAAGACCCGCCTGTACCACATCATCATCCACGTCAAGCATGGACTGTCACTGCACGCCGCGCGCAGCCACTGATGCTATCGGCACCAATGGAAGTGTGCCGGGATGGCCCATGACACACAGGTTTGAATATGCGCCGAGCAAGCTGGACTCACTGCCGTCGGCATGCGACACCACGTCTCCTCTGGGCCCCTCCAACACAAGACCAAATGGGCCCCTCGAGGTCAAGCATGGACTATCACCGCACGCTGCGCGCAGCCACTGATGCTATCGGCATCGAAAGAAGTGTGTCGAGATGCTATCGGCATCGAAGGAAGTGTGTCGAGATGGCCCATGACACGGGTTTGAATATGCACCGAGCAAGGCGGACTCATTGTCGTCGGCACGCGGCATCGCCTCTGCTCTAGGCCCCTCAAACGCAAGACCAAATGGGTCCTGCCTGAGACGGGTAGCGGTGTGGCTGACTTCGCCACCCTCTCGGTGGGCATGGTCTCAGTCAAAAAAGGAAAAGCTCATAGGTGACAGGTGGTCGTAAGTGGCGTGAGAGGCATGATGGTCGTGTCCTCGACACTCCTTGCGGGGACCCTGCAGAAGGGATCGCCACCAAGCATGTTGTTGCTCGGATGGACAACTCGCAGGGCTGAGGGTGACATCTTCGACTCCTTTGGAAGGGCAATGGTG